GGAGAAGCTTAAGGGAGGAGGGATTGGGGGGAGACTGACTGGCCGGGAATGGGGGGGAAGGGAGGAGGACGAAGAGGAGGATGAGCAGGAGGAGGAGGAGGAGGAGGGGGAGGAGAGGTAGGAAAAGGGTTTGGAGGGAAGAGCCGTGGGAGGAGAGGCAGCACGTGTAGGATGAACCGTGATGTGAATCAAGGCCATGGAGAAGAAAGGAAGCAGAGGAGGGGCAGCAGGCTAGTCATAATGATGATCAGAAACGAGCCATGAGGAGGAGGAGGAGGAGGAGAGGAGGAGTGACGGCGGAGGATGAGGAGGAACGGCACGACAAGGAGGTGTAGGAGGAGGATCAGGAGGAGGAGGATGAGGAGGAGGACAACGAGATGGGCAGAGCGAGGATAAAGAGAGGCGGAGGAGCTGCATGGGGGATGGGGGAGGAGGCGCCCCCTCTCCGTCCTCGTCGTTTTCCCTTCCCCCTCCTCCCGCGCAACCTCCTCCGCCTCCTCCTCCTCCTCCTCCTCCTCTTCCTCCTCCTCGTTACAGTTGTCGTCGTCGTCGTCGTTGCCGTCGTCGTCGTCGTCATCAGCATCATCATCATCAGCATCATCAGCATCATCATGATCATTGTCGTCATCATCACTATCATCAGCATCAACATCATCTTCATCATCATCGTCGTCATCATAATCATTACAATCATCATGAGCAGCGTCACCATCATCATCACCATCACCATCACCATCGTCACCATCATCATCATCATCATCAACGCCGCCGTCCTCGTCTTCGCCGTCCTCGCCGTCGTCACCATCATCATCATCATCATCATCTTTATCATCATCATCATCATCATCATCATCATCATCATCATCATCATCATCAACGCCGCCGTCCTCGTCTTCGCCGTCCTCGCCGTCGTCGTCGTCATCGTCTTCATCGGCTTCTTCGTCGTCGTCATCATCGTCGTCGTCATCGTCATCGTCATCGTCGTCGTCATCATCACCATCATCACTATCATCCTCGTCATCAGCATCATGGCGAGACTCAGGAACGTGCAAAAGTCCTGGGCATCGCGCTGCCGACGGTTACGCATCACAAAACAGTGGAGAGTGGCGTTGAAGGGTGCGCCCTGCATGTCGCAGAGCCAGTGGCAGGCGGTAAGAGTGTCGTCTTCGGTCACGGCGAGGAAGGGCAAGCGGATGGAGTTCAAGGAGGCGCTGCTGGCGTACACCAGCTGGATTCAGGAGCAGGAGGTGTTCGGGTCGGGGACGCTGCACCAGCTTACCGAGGACAAGGGGCGCTGAGATCACAAAGTCAAGTCGGAAGGCACAATGGCCACTGACATGGAATAGAACATGGACGCCAACGGCAAGCAGTGGGGAAGGAACGAAAGTGAACGAGCAAACTTGGAGAGGAGGTGAACTTCGTGAAGCTGGGGGTTACTAGGGTAGCCCGGAACACTGGGCGCCGATCACCGACGATTGCCTGGAGAGAGCCATCGCGACGATGGCCAACGAGAAGGCGAAACAAGTGGAGCAGTTCGGCTCGCTGGGTTTCAACTGGCTGCCGCGGAAAACGAAACAGGAACCCTGGCAGCTCACCAAGGGCATCGGGAAAGGTAGTGTGTGGCCGTGACAGATGATGGTCATGTTGGTCAGTTTGCTGCGAAGGATGCTGGAGGCGACCGCGCCATAGGGTTTCTTCTGCCCGAATATCAAGGGCGAGCACACCAATGAAAGGGCCACCGCGATGGCAGGCAACTGGGGCGTAGCCGTCGCAGGGCACACCGTGCACAAATATTCCTTAGCTCGGTCGTTTGCCGACGAGTTCTTGGAGTGAGCGCCGCAAGTGATCTACTCGGCCACGATCCTCTGGGACCTGGCGGAGTTCTAGGGTATGCTGCAGCCCCTGCTCGTCCAGGAGGAGGGTATTAAGCTTGGCTGGCAAGCCTGAACACTGCACGTGGAGACCCCGAGCCACCTGAGCGCGAGGGTGATCCGGGAGAGGACGGCGCACGCGAAGCCGACGGCCCCAGGGAGTACGATTGCGCGGGTGCCAGGCGAGGAACCGACTCCGGTAGAGTGGCGTCGTGCGCGGTGCTAGAGAAGGTCTTGGACAAGTTCCCGCAGGTTTACGTGGGATCTGGAGCGGGCGACGCGGGGCGCGCAGTGGCCAAGAGCGGCTAGCTTGCTGCAGCAAGAGTGGATTTCGCGGGCGGCGTCGAGATGGCGAACCTCGCGGCGCCTTCGAATGCGGCGGCGATCAGCAACGGGCGACGCTCGAGGTTGCGTTGGAGCTGCTCGGTAGACAGATCGCGACCAAGGTCGAGAAGCAGGCCCCCTTATTCGGGCATCGACAGTGGAGGCGTCGCTGAAGACAGGGGGAAGCACGCGGAGAGGCCCGCCATTGCGGGTCGCCTGGTGAAGACGTCGCCGAGGTCGATGCGCGCTTGAGGAGGAGCGCGAGCGGCGGTGCACAGAGGGCCTTTACCGAGGGCGGCTCACTCCTGAAATGCGTTCGGCTTAGGCCGCCGCACCAGGACTGCGCGGCCGGGCTTTCGCCGCATTGTTCGTCGATGGGCGCCAGCGACCCCGCGCGCGGCGCGACCTTCGCGCCGCTGGACCTCTGGGCGCGCGTTGCAAGCAGCGACGGACGATGGGGGCCGGCGGATCTGGCGCGGGGGCCGTCGAGACCAGTTGCGGGCGGGGTCGAACGGGCGGGGGGGGGCGGGCGTCGCGAGGGCGATGGCTGGGGGCCGACGGGGTCGCGGCGCCGCGTGGTGGAGGGCGGTGAGATCTTCGGAGGCGACGGCCCGTCGGCGTCGGGCGACCGCGCTGACGCTGGCGACCCGCGGCCGGAGACGGTGGAGCCGAGAGAAAGAAAGCGATGGGGGGGTGGGGGAAGCATCGGAGCTGCGCGCAAGCGGTGGGCTCGAAGACGGGGCGGACCTCGGATCGGCGAGGGTCGCGCTGGAATTGCTGAAGAAGACGGGCGAGCGCGAGCATTGCGGGGCCCCCCTCGCGATCGCGACGGGGGCAGCGCGGCCGAGGCAGCGCCCGTGGCCCGGGCCGGGCGGCGAGGCGCGCGGGCGCACAGCGCGGGCCGCAAGTGCGGCGACGAGACAGAGGGGCGTTGTAGGTCGGCGGACTTGGCGGCCAGGGCGCTCGATCGGGCGGAACTGCAACCGCGTCTGCGGCTGGGGGGCTTGCTGCCCGAGGGCCGGGCGGAAGTGCCGGGGCCGCCGGAGGGCGGCGATGCTATCGTGGAAGGGCCCGGCGAGTCGGAGCGGCGAACGGCGTCGCGGACCAGGGGGGGCGGCTCGAGGCCGCGCGCGGCGCGCCCGAGGAGGGGGGGGGGGGGCGCGCGACGGGTCCAAGGCTGAGGAGCGCGGCGCTCGGGCGCGGGTCGCGCTGGGCCAGGGCGAAGGAGATCGCCCCCCCCCCTCGCCGGAGGTGGGCGGGGGGGGCCTGGCCGGGGGCAGAGCGTCAGCCGCGGCGAGCTGCGCGGGCTGAGTGGGGCGTTGGAGTAGGCGAAGGGGCTTCGGAATGTCCCGCACATGGCGGACTGGAGCTACGCGATGAGAGCGCGAGAGGAACGAGCAAGGTCGAGGCCGGGAAGATGCCGGGGTCGCGCGTGGACCCCTGCTGCGGCGTCGAGAAGGCGGAGCTGGGCAAGCAGGTGGAGATGTTCAGGGTAGGAGGCCACTTGGCGACCGATGGGGGCCATCCTAGCTGGCGCGGGCCCCGTCTTCCCGGGCAACAGCCTCGCGGGCGACCTAGCGGAAGGGGTCGTCGAGAGGGCGCGGGCGTCGATGGCGGGGGCGTCGAGGGATCGATTGGCGCGGGGGGTCGCGGAAGCGGGGTCGGGGGCTGTCGATGTCGAAGAAGCCAGTGGACCAGATTGTTCGACTGCTCAAGTTAGTTAAACGACGCGACAGACATTTCGAACGAGGAGGCGAGGTTCGACGTGCGCGACAACTGCGGCCGCGAGGGCGCGGCAGTCCAAGAGCGCGAAGCCGCTCGGCGGGGATTGCGCGGCGATGATGCAGGCGGAGGTGCCCGCGCGAGTGGCGCCGCAGGCCCAGGGGGGCGCGAGCGGGACATCGAGCCGTCCATCCGAGCCATCCGCGGAGGTGGGGCGCCGCGCTGGAAGTCCACTACCGCGCATCGTTCGGCGTGTTCGGGAGAGCAGCTCAAGACGGTCGCGAAGGAGCGCAGCGGGCAGGCGAAGCAGGCGGGCGCGCAAAACCTGGCGACGGTCGAGCAGGGGTTCCGGCCAGGAGGTTCGCAGCTCGCGAAGGACTGGGACTAGAAACAGAATATGAAGCGGACTGAGGGCTTCTGATCAGCTCTGCGCGGCGTGTGCGTGCGGAGCTGGCAGGAGAGAGTTGACGCCCTGGCCTGGGGGCGTCGGATAGGATGGGCCTCTGCTACAGGACATCTTCATCACCATCCACCAGCACCATCAACAAAATATTATCATCCCCCTCCCGCGGAACTTTTTCATCCTCCTCTTCCCTCCTCCTTCATCCTCGTGGTTCCTCCTTGGCAACCTCCCCTTTCGTCCTTTTCCTCGCCCCCACCCTCGTCATCCCCCTTCGGCGCAACCCCGTCATCCCATCTTTTGTTGCCGCCTCTTCATCCTCCCTCCTCCATCCTAATATTCCTTTTCCTCCTCGCCCCCTCGCTTCAGCCTCATCGCCTGCCTTCCAGCTCAGCCTTCTCTTTGCCCCGTCCTATTCGCCCCACGTCCTCCTCCGTCCCTTTTATATTCGCCCGTCCCACACCTCCTCCCCCTCGTCCTCCTCCTCTTCCTTCTCCACCTCGTCTTCCTGTTCCTCTTCGTCCTCCTCTTCACCCGCCTTTTTTTCATCCCTCCTTCTCTTCATTCATTTCGTTTTTTCCTCCACGTCGTCCTTCACCCTGCTCGCCCATTTTCCTCTCCCCCCCCCCTCAGTGGGAGAAAAGAGCTCGACCCGCAGCCTCCCGCGCGCGCGCCCCCGCGAGGTCCATCTCGCCGGCTCTGGCATCCGGGCCGCGTCGCGCGGTCGCTCGCCGAAGCCGTCGTCGTCGGAAGGCGCGTGCCTGCGCGCCCCGCGCCCGCTCTTGCGGCCCTTCATGTGTCCTTTGCCTCCTCCTCTTCCCCCTCCTCCTCCTCCTCTTTCCGTTTTCTTCCTCGTCCTCCTCCCTCCCCTGCCCGTCCTCATCCTCCTCCTCCTCGTCCTCGTTCCGTTGTCTTCCTCGTCCTTCTCCCTCCCCTCCCCCTCCTCCCCCTCCTCCTCTTCGTCCTCCTCCCCCTCCTCCTCCTCCTCCTCTTCCTCCTCCTCTCCTTCCCCTGCTAGTACTACTATGATTTTTTCTCCCTCCTACCACTACTACGACGACGACGACGACGACGACTACGACTACGACTACTGGCTTACTACTAATACTTCTAATACTACTACTAATACTACTACTACTACTACTACTACTACTAATACTTCTACTACTACTACTACTACTACTACGACTACTACTACGACTACTACTACTACTACTACTACTGCTACTACTACTACTACTATTCCGACTGCTACGACGACTACTTCTACTACTACTACTTCTCCTACTACTACTACTACTACTACTACTCATACCACTCCTACTACTACTACTACTACTACTACTACTACTACTACCACCACCACGGTCACTATTACGACTACTACTACGACGACTACTATTACTACTACTACTACTACTACTACTACTACTACTACTACGATTGGTATTTCTACTCCTACCGCTACTGCTGCTTCTGGTACTGTTGCGGCTGCTGCGACGACTGCTACTACTACTACTACTACTTCTACTACTACTCCTACTACTACTACGACAACTACTATTACTACTTCTACTACAACGACTACTACGACTAATACTACTACGACTACTGCTACGATTGCTGCTACGACTACTACTACTACTACTACTACTACTACTACTACTACTACTACTACTACTGTTACCACTACTACTTTTACTACTACTACTACTACTACTACTACTACGACTACTACTACTACTATTACTGCTATTATTACTACTACTACTACTATCGCTACTACCACTACTACCAGTACCACTACCACTTACTACTACTAGTAGTACGACTAACTCTATTACTTCTACTATTACTACTATTACTACTACTACTACTACTACTATTTCTAATCCTATTACTTCTACTACTCGTACTACTACTACTTCCACGACTACTACTACTTCTTCTTCTACTACTACTACTACTACTACAACGACGACTACTACTACCACTACTACGACTACGACTACTACTACTAGTACGACTCCTACTACTACTACTACTACTACTACTACTACTACTACTATTGCTACTACTACTACTACTACTACTACGACTACCACCACCAATAATACCAAAACTACTAATACGACTGCGACCACTATTTTTACGATTCATAGTATTACTACTACTGCTACCACTCATATTATACTACTACTACTACCACTGCTACTACTACTACTACTACGACTACGATTACTTTTACCACTACCACTAGTGCTACTACTTCTTCCACTACGACTACTTGCACTACTACCACTTCTTTCTAATTGTGTTACCACTACTCCTACTACGATTCATACTGCCAATCTTACTACTACTACTTCTACCACTGCGACCATTACTACCATACGTCTAGTATGCTAAGTATTACTACTCTTATTACTCCTACCACTATTAAGACGACTTTCACAACTAGTACGACGATTACGAGTACGGAAGTACGGCGGTGACGACGACGATCATTACTACTACTACTACTACCAGTACCACGACCATTTCTACTACTACTACTACTACTACTACTACTACTACTACTACTATATTGTTACTGCTACGACTACTACTACTACGACGACTACTACTACTACCACGATTTGTATTACTACGACTACGACTACGAGTTCTTCTACTACTACTACTACGACTACTACCACTACCACTACTACTACTACTACTACTACTACTACTACTTCTACTTCTACGTCTACTTCTATTTCTACCTCTACTACCACTACTACTAATATTAGCACCATTACCACCACCACGACCTCTACTACTACGACTAATACTGCTACTACTCTGCTAGTATTACTACTACTACTACTACTACTACTACTGCTACTACCCACTTTTACCGACTACTGCTACTGATACTTCGACTGCTACAACCAATGCTACTACTATCACGACCATTACTAGTACGACTACGACCACTACTACTACCACTACCACTACTACTACTACTACTACTACTACTACTACGACTACTACTACTACTACTACTACTACTAGTGATACTACCACGACTACTCCTACTACTACTACTACTACTACTACTACTACTACTACTACTACTTCTACTACTTCGACTGCGACTACGACTACTACTACTCCTACTACTACTACTACTACTCCTACTCCTACAATTACTACTACTACTACTACTACTACTACTACTACTAGTCTACTACTACTACTACTACTACTACTACTACTACGACTACTACTACTACTACTACTACTACTACTACTACTACTACTACTACTACTACTACTACTACTACTACTACTTCGACTACGACTACTATTATTAGTACTTGTACTAGTGCTACTTTTTCTAGTACTACTACGACTACCATTGCCACTACCACTACCACTACTGCTGCTACTCCTACCTTTATTTCTACCCCTATCCTACTTCTACTCCCAATTCTGCTTCTCCTCCTCCTCCTCCTCCTCCGCCTGCTCTTCTTCTCCTCCCCTTCCTCCTCTGTTCCTCAGCTCTCCCTTTTCCTCCTCCTCCTCACTCTTCCCTTCTCCTGCTCTTCCTCCTCCTGCTCCTCGTCCTCGCCGTGTGCGAGCGTCGGGCGGGCGGCGGTTTCGGCGCAAGTGCGCGTGGCACGCCTCGCGCTGCCTGCCTGCTGACGCTCGGCGGCAGGCCTGTTTGCAGGATCACATTGGGCTGGGCGTTTGTGTCGCGGGTGTCTGCCCGTGACCTGCGACATCGAGATCTGCCTCGCCTGTGTGGGCAAGGAGTCCGTGCAGGGGTCTGGACGGGCCGCCGTCTCCACGGCCTGGCACACACACAGCCGCGCCCGTTTTCGCTCGCAGCGCGGCGGCCCACACCGACGAGCTATCTCATTGGAGGAGAAACCACTCGTACCCCATAATTGGCGTTTGCTCAACGGCCCTGGGCGTTTACTAAGCAGCCCTGCCCTGTTCGACTCCTTCTGTGGGTGCGTCTACGACACGGCTTCGCGTGTCGGGGTGATTCATCTGGGGGTGGAGCTTCTGCTCTCCAGTTCTTGGCGCGGCGAGCCCCCGACGACCGCGGGGGGAGGAAAAACGCTGGTGTCGCATACGGCCACGGGTCCGGACTTCCAGTGGTGGGAGACTTTGTTTCCCCGCCGGCTTCGGGCACTGTGCCGGCTTTGCTCCAGCGGGCGGGTCACAGGATCGGGACGACCGAAATCGGTCCGGCCTCGGCCCGGAGCTCTCGGCGTCGGCGTCCCTCGCCTCCGTTTCCTCCGTCTGAGGCCACTCGTGGGAGAGCCTCCCCTGCAACCTGGTATGGTCCCGTGCGAATCGACGCCGATCGACGCGAGCGGACGCCAAATCAACGGTAGTCTATGCGGCTAGATCGGCGTGTTCTCATCTCGCCGAGCGTGTTTCGCTACTCGCAAAGTGCCTGCTCGCAAACGTCTTTAAACAAATCACCGATGGAATGGGCGTAAATCCCACGCGGCGGGTCCAGGCCATTTGCGAGTGGTTACTCTGCGAGGAGTGGAACGCGCTTGTCGATCATCGATGCCCAGACGCTAGAGCGCAGGCTACTGCACTCGGTTTTGCTCCAGCAGGCGGGTCACCAGAGAGCCACCGCGGGAGTCGGGACGGGCCCCATCTCCCAGGGGTGCGCGGTCTTTGGCAAGCCCGTCCTTCAGGCCCGAAACGTGGGCCACACATGCCGGGGACATGGTGCTGCCGGCGCTGCGGCAGCGGCAGCGGACCACAGCCCCACGCTTGTCGGCCACGACTGCGAAGTCTTCAATCACCGCGTGGGGAGGGCATCCTTGGACTGGGGGCCACTCCGAGAGCGGTGATGGTGCACAGATGCTCGACGAGGCGGTGATGAAGCAGCAGGGGCAGGCCGTGGGCGTGATGACGCGCTGGGCGTCGTGTGCCCTCCCCGCGGGGTGGGCGCGGCCATCGGCGAGGCGAAGGCCTGCGCGGGTGCTCTCGGCAGTCACCCAGGTGGTGGACCCCCCAGAGGAGGAGCCCGAGGAAGGAGAGCAATCGATGGCGAGCGAGGGGGGGCGTGAGAAGGAGAAGGCGTGCTCAGAAGGCGGCGGGACTTCCTTGAAGCCCTCGTGCCTTCTGAGAGGTCGTTTGTGTCTTCGGGGAAGGCTCAGGCAACTTCTCAGAAGGCCTGGGTACTGCCAGGCCTTCTGAGAAGGCCTTCTCTTTCACACTCCCCCCCCGCAGGCACGCCGCCCAAGCAAGCCATCGTGCGTCGTTTTCGCGGGTGCCTCGTGGGCCATCTGCTCCTAGAGCTCTCCAAGCCGAGCTTCGCCTGCGAGTGAGAGTGGTGCCATTGGAGCTACCCCCGAGGCTCAACGCCACACTGGTGCCGTAAGTGCAGGTGTGCGGGTGCTGCGTCTGCCACAAGCTGCGCCGCGGCGAGCACTCACGACGTGCCCCTCGTCGCCCCGGAGGCGCTCGTCGGGTGGGGCGCGGTCGGGGGGCCCAGGGCCGGTCAGGTCCGACGCTGGCCCCCCGCGGAGGCGGCCGAGAGGAGAGACAGTTTTCGGTGGAGTGGATCAGTTGCTCCTCGTCCTCGTCGTCGCCCTCCTCCCCCCCCTCTTCCATTTCTTGGGAGGCTCCCCCATGAGTTTGACAACGCGGGGTGCAAAGTGTACCACCTGCGCACACCGTGCAATCCTGCGTCAGGATATGGATCAGATGGTGAGACCGCCTCCGCCGCCTCCACT